ACAGAAGCTGGATGATAGAAGCAAAGTGATGATTCTGATAGGGTACCACAGTACAGGTGCATACAAGCTCTATTGTCCAAAAACCAATAAAATTGAATTCAGCAGAGATGTGATTGTGAAGGAATCAGAAGTTTGGAATTGGGATAAGTCTCAATCTGATTCTGATGTTAGAACTTCTGAAGAAAGGTCAGAGTTAAGAATTTCTGAAGTTGAAGTAAACTCTGACGTTGATTCTGACTCTGATAGTGATTCTGACTCTGGAGAAGACTCAGAAGATGAAGGTGACTCTGATGATCCAGACTCTGATGGTAATCCAGATTCTGGTGGCAATTCAGACTCTGGAGATGGCCAAGACTCTGAAAATATGCCAGATCTTGAAGATGGTAAAAGCTCTAGAGGAAGTCAACCATCTGAAGCTGGAAACTCTGAAGCTCAAGACTTTGAACAAGTTCAGAGACCATAAAGAATCAGAAGCGTTCCCAGAACGTTTGCAGAATTTGACATGCTGCAAGACACTGAAGTAGACTCTGAAGGAGAAGTTATTCAGTGTGCCATGTTAGTAGACTCTGAACCTATAAGTACAGAGGAGGCTCTTAAGCAGAAGCTCTGGCTGAAGGCCATGAAAGAAGAACTTGATGCTATAGAGAGAAACAAGACTTGGAAGCTGACAGAACTTCCAAAAGACAAGAAAGCCATCAGCGTCAGATGGGTTTTCAAGCAGAAGTTAAAGCCAGATGGTTCAATTAGCAAACATAAAGCAAGGTTGGTAGCCAGAGGATTTCTACAGAAACCTGGGCTGGATTATTCTGAAGTGTTTGCACTTGTAGCAAGACATGAAACAATCAGAATGGTGATTGCAATAGCTGCTAACAGGAATTGGCCTCTGATGCATTTAGATGTAAAATCTGCATTTCTGAATGGTCCATTAGAAGAAGAAGTTTACGTGTCACAACCTCCTGGATTTGTGAAAAAGAATCAGGAAAGGATGGTGTACAGATTATACAAAGCTCTATATGGATTGAAACAAGCGCCCAGAGCTTGGAATCAGAAGATTGATTCATTTTTCAAGAAGCAAGGCTTTCAGAAATGTGATATGGAGTACGGTGTCTATGTTCAGCATACTTCTGAAGGCAATATGACTCTGGTATGTTTATATGTTGATGATATACTGCTGACTGGAAGTTCTGAACAGGAGATAGCCAAGTTCAAGAAGGTTCTAATGAATGAATTTGAAATGACTGATCTAGGCAAAATGACATACTTTCTAGGGATGGAGTTCAAATATTCTGAGAAAGGTATCATTTTGCATCAGCTCAAGTATGAATTAGAACTTCTGAAGAGATTTGATCTGAAGAATTGTAAGATGGCTGTCACACCTTCTGATACAAATCAGAAACTGGATTCAGACTCTGAAGGAAAGGATGTGGACGCTACAACCTTCAAACAGTTGGTTGGTTCTCTGAGGTATCTGTGCAATACCAAACCTGATATTTGCTACTCAGTTGGGATGGTTAGTAGGTTCATGAGTAAACCTAAGTGGTCCCATTACCAAGCTGCTATCAGGATTCTGAGGTATATCAAAGGAACTCTGAAGTATGGAGTGTTATTTCCCTCTGGAGGAAATAATGAGTCAGAACTTCTGAGTTATTCAGACTCTGATTGGTGTGGAGACAGAGTTGACAGAAGAAGTACATCTGGGTACTTGTTCAAATTTCTGGGAGGTTCCATTTCTTGGTGTTCCAAGAAGCAACCTGTTGTGGCGTTGTCAACCTGTGAAGCTGAATACATTGCAGGTGCTGTTACTGCATGCCAAGCTGTGTGGATTCTGAATCTGTTGCAGGATCTGAAGATTAAAGTAGACAAACCTCTGAAGTTGATGATTGACAACAAGTCTGCAATCAATCTTGCCAGAAACCCAGTGTTGCATAGGAGAAGCAAGCATATTGAGACCAAGTATCATTTTCTGAGACATCAAGTTCAGAGTGGAGTGTTAGAAGTTGTACACTGCAGCACTCAGAAGCAGTTGGCAGATGTTCTGACGAAAGCTGTCAAGACTGATCAATTTCTCAGACTAAGGGATGGAATTGGTGTTATAAGTTTTGATGGAATATGAATTAAGGGATGGTATTAGAATATTAATAGTAATTCATATTTATTTAGTTGTACTATTTTCCTTAGCCCCTAAGTTTGTTAGAGGGTATTTTAGTATTTTATCTTATTCTAGTAACCCTAGTTTTAGCTTATAAATAGGGTGACAATCATTGTAACTTTTATCATGTTTTCGTAGCCGTCATTCTTAATAGAATATTTCCTTTGTTCATCATTTATTCACCTTTGCACCAACACATATGTATATGTGTACATATATATATATATATATATATATATATATATATATATATATATATATATATATATATATATATATATATATATATATATATATATATATATATATATATATATATATATATATATATATATATATATATATATATATATATATATATATATATATATATATCTATATATATATATATATATATATATATATATATATATATATATATATATATATATATATATATATATATATATATATATATATATATATATATATATATATATATATATATATATATATATATATATATATATATATATATATATATATATATATATATATATATATATATATATATATATATATATATATATATATATATATATATATATATATATATATATATATATATATATATATATATACATACATATATATATATATATATATATATATATATATATATATATATATATATATATATATATATATATATATATATATATATATATATATATATATATATATATATATATATATATATATATATATATATATATATATATATATATATATATATATATATATATACATATGTACATATGTATGTATATATACATATGTACATATGTATATATACATATGTACATATGTATGTATATATACATATGTACATATGTATATATACATATGTGTATATATATATATATATATACATATGTACATATGTATATATATATATATATATATATATATATATATATATATATATATATATATATATATATATATATATATATATATATATATATATATATATATATATATATATATATATATATATATATATATATATATATTATCAAACCCTTTCGTCATCCTCGGTGTTGCGGTGAGAATCGGATGTCAAGTTATTGATAAACTTGAATCACAAATCTTTAAAATTCACCATCGAGCTTTGATTTATGCAAAAGAAAGAGTAAAGAACGAAAATCCTAATTGCACTGTAAATAATGCAGGAGATCTAAGGTTTGGGGGTTGGTTATACCTAGGGAAGGTGTTAGCATCTAAGCATCTGTATTATTCTACAGGAACCTCTTGTTTCAATTGTGTTATTTGGTATCTGTTATATGTTATGCTAAAGGGTTAAAAGAAGATCTAAGGGGTTAGTTCTAAGTATGCTCGCCAAGACATTGCATCTTGTGCCTATGTATCCTGACGGGAATGGAATCAAAGCATTCGTAGTTCCCCTCAACGAGGATGAGGAGCTTGACTATGGTCAAGGTTCCAAGAGGGAAGTAAGTATCTATGGCAAGATACTTACATGGAGCGCGGCGACTCCAAACTTAAAGCTAAGTTGAAAGGGAAAGATAAGTAAGTGTCCATGGCAGGACACTTACATGGAGTGCGACGACTCCGATCCCAAGGCTGGGATGAAAAGGAAATAAAAAAGAATATGTGTCCTTGGCAGGAACTTATAGGCTCATGTCGACTCCAATCCTAAGGTTAGAATAATGGTACAGACTTAGAAGTTCCTGAGATTGACATGGTAGTCAACAGGAGGATTTCCTTTCCTTTGGAAGTGTAGAGTGCTTTAGTAACAAAAAGTCAACGAGATAAGCCTCGAATACTAACGAGCGGATAGATCAAGAACTCAGAAGATAGAATATCACGATCAAGATTTAATCACGATCCAATATATCAAGAATTACATTCAACATGCAATATCATAAACTAAATAAAGGAACTTGTGAGTTCAAGATCAATTCAAGAAATAAATGAACATAAAAATGTTTAAACCACAATTTAGGTTAAAAAATAGACAATTTAAAAAAAATTGACTTACTAATTAAATTAAAATATAATTTCACAAATCATACTAATTAAATAAATTAAAGCTAAATAATTTATTTTGATGAAATTAAAGGAAAAAAAACTAAATTAGAAAAAAAGGGGGTGTTGTGGACCTTTAGGGTATTAGAAAGAAACACAACACAGGCACACCAAGGGAAAAGCCCATGCAAGGAAAAGGGGTCCGTTGTAGACCCTAGGTCAGACCTTTGACCCACATAAAGAAAACCTGACCGTTGATCTGGTCAAGAGTAAAGTGTAAACTCAAGATCTAATGTCCAGCAAAGAGGGTGCATGATAAGGTTTCTGGGTGTGCGCACAGGGAACCTGAAGAGCATGATAACCAGTGACACCTATCACCGGCAGCACCTGACACCCTCACCATGCTGATCACGCGTGGCCTTGAAAAAAATAAAAAGAAAAGAAACAGACGACAATATTCATTACATTTCGTTCATACCTTCTCTCACCTGAACTTGCATTCTCCCTCTCAACATATAACCTTCATCGGAACCAAAACATTGGCCGGGGAAGGTGGTGGTTGGCGGTGGTGTCGTCGTCCTCCCTGGTGAAACCAACCTCAAATCAAATATGATCTACATAAACCCTATCTTATTTATTACCCCTCATCTCGAATCCACTATCTGTTTACTCAAAAACTCAACCAAAAACTTCAATGGAACTCATTCCCAACCTAAACCTTAACTCCAAAAACAACTTTATACGACGAATCAAGCAAGGATTAAACAACAAGAAAAGAGGAATAACCAGTAAATAAGTTTAAATCAGAGGAAAAGAAGGAACAATGTCTACCTTTCAACGAATCGGTTACCAAACCCTCAGGTATCTTCACTCCGCTACTTCTCTATGCGTGTTCTATTCTTCTCCTCTTCTTATTTCTCCATGTTTGTGGATTTTCTGTAAACAAATTTTGCTGGTGTGAATTATAATTTTCACAATGTGTGTAAATGTGTTTTTTTTGTAATCTGCTTCTTTTGATATATGAGTTTTCCTGTGATTTTTGTTACTCATGTTTTCAAGTTCTTCCCCCTCTGGTGTGTACGTGAATCTGTTTTCAATTTCCTCCCTTTTGTGTATCTTCTCCCCTGTTTTGAAAACCCCTTGCATTTATAAACTAATGAAATTCAATACTAGTTTTGAAATCAAAGAGAGATATTGTTGCTGATAAAAACTTTCCATTATGATGTCAACATGTTTACATACTATGTTGTAAACAATTTGAATCTTATTTAGGGTCTTTCCATTTTCATTTTAACATGTTTGTCTACTTGTTTTTAGAAAGAATGCCAATTTGTCTTGAATGGATTGTGTGTCGATTGTGTTTAATTGTTGTCTGAGATGATTTCATGACATATTCAATTCTTTCCAAAACTTTCCATGAATACTTGATTTTGTTTGGAAATCTATGCCTTTCTGACTTTAATTGATGCTGGTGAGGATTTTCATGAACGCTTTGATTGTATTTGGATGAATACAACTTAATTTTGATGATTTTTCTTTGACAGGTTTTGGAACCTTTGGACTGTGTTTGGCTGTGACGGAAAAAAACTTAGATTTGCAATTGGTAGATGGTCTTTGAGTCGGTTGGAGAAGCTAAGCATATTGCAGAACGACGACTATCCAAGCTATAAGACGTGGGGCTTCTCATTCTCTTTAAAGGATATCTATAGACTACCAAGCTTATTTTTGGGGAAGTATTTGTAACTTGTGAAGGATTGTAATGAACATATGACCTTGATTTGGAATTTTGGAGTAGTATCTAGTCTCGACTCTTGTATGCTTAAATAAATTTTCTCTTCTTTGAACTTAATCACCCAAAAGCATTGGTATGTAACTTGAATGGATCGTAATCTTGACATTAGCCTGAAATTTCGCAATACGGTATCTTGAATTTGAACTTGAAACGGTGGCTTTTTGTGTTTTTAAATTAATAAAAGAAATTATCTTGTTTATTTTGGATTCATGTAAACCTTAGTTTTTGATTTTTGGAATCAATCTTGATTTTGTAAGCTTTAAAACTTGAATCTTCATGAACTTGAATACTTGAGTTTAGTCATATAAAAAACTCGAAAGGTAAGAAAAAACGATTATGAATCTTGTCTTGGACTCTAATCACATGAATCCATAACTTTGACATTAAACATGGAATTTCTTTGAACTAGTCTTATATAGAACTTAATATTTTGGAATGGATAGAACTTAATCATTTTTTTTATGTTTGAATCTTGACCAAATGGCTTTAGAATTGGATACCGTTCGCAATACTATGCACCAAAAAATTCCTACCAGTTCTTCAATGACTACCCTTGAAACCAAAAGACAGAAAACTCTAATCTCCCTTGGGGAAACCTCTGAGATGTCTTAGAGAGAAATGATTTCATACTGGTCAAAGGGCTACAAGAATAAGGCATATCCTTATTTTATATCCACAGGAATTCAAACAAACAGCTCGCAGGGGACTATGAGCACACACAAAGCCTTCATGACCTCTGAAGTTTCTGCAGCAACCCTAACTTCACAAATGAAACAAACAAACAAAGTCTAATAAATCGGTTAGTTATGCATAGATGATTGACCTAAGATGGTATGAAAAAGATCAAAGAATCTAAAGATAAAATTTGAGGTATAACACTCGGAAAACTAGTCAAACATCCATGAAAATGTTGCGTTATTTCCACTCAGGAATGCTCAATGGTGGCATCAGACCCAACGGTTTTTGATGTTTAAACTTCGACTTTTGGCAAGTCAAGCAAGCGTACAAAAACTCAGCTACTTCCCTCTTTATTCCTGGCCAACAAAACATCTTCAAATCTTGATACATCTTTGTGGCATCGAGATGAATACTCATACCACTTATGTAACCTTCCTTAAGAATAATCTTCTTAAGTCCTGACACATCTGGTACACAAACTTTATCTCGGAAACGCATAACACCATTCTCATATATTCTGAGATCACCTTATTTACCTTGATTGATTAACACTAGTCGGTCAATCAATCTCAAATCTGATTTTTGACCTTCTCTGATTTCTTCAAGAATACCACTGGCCAGTTTAAACATACCCAACTTCACACTTTTAGGAGTCATTTCACATATCAAACTGAGATATGTGAACTTCTCAATCAACTTCAATTCTCGAACCATCAACGTCGACATATGCAATGACTTTATGCTCAAAGCATCGACTATAACATTGGCTTTACCAGGGTGGTAACTTAAACAAAAATCATAGTCCTTTAGAGATTCGAGCCACCTCCTCTTCCTCATATTCAACTCTTTCTGATCGAACAAGTAATTTAAACTCTTGTGGTCACTAAAAACTTCAAATTTGGAACCAAACATAAAATGCCTCCAAAATTTTTAAGATAAACACCACAGCTGCCAACTCTAGATCATGCGTAGGATAATTCCTCTCATGAACTTTCAATTGTTTAAAGCATAAGCCAAAACTTGACCATTCTGCATCAAGATACCACCTATACCCATCTTCAAAACATCAAAATACACAACAAAGGACTCACTTGGACTTGGCAAAATCAAAATTGGTGCAGATGTCAACTTCCTCTTGAGTTCTTGAAAACTCTCTTCACACTTCACACTTCACACATAAGTTTTACCCTTTCGAGTTAATTGAGTAAAAGACAATGCTAACTTAGAAAATCCTTCAATGAACCTCCAGTAATAACTAGCAAAACCCAGAAAACTTCTGATCTCTGTAACATACTTCGGAGTCTCCCATTGCAACATTGCATCTATCTTTGATGGATCCACTATGATACCACCAATAGATATCACATGACCAAGGAAATTTACTTCTTGCAACCAAAACCCACACTTGGATAAATTTGTATACAACTTATTTTCTTTCAATGTTTTCAACACAACTTTCAGATGCTCCATATGCTCTTCATCAAACTTAGAATATATCAAAATATCATTGACGAACACAACCACAAGCTTATCTAGATAAGGATATAAAATTCTATTTGTATATTCCATAAACACACCTATCGCATTAGACACACCAAACAACATCACATAATACTCATAACGATTATATCTCTTTATGAGCGTAGTTTTCAGAATATCTTCTATTTTCACTAGAATCTAATGATAAACCACCGCAAATCAATCTTACTGAATACGCAAGCACCAACCAACAGATCCATCAAATCGTCAATTCTCGAAAGAGGATACTTATTCTTGAAAGTAACCTCAGTTGTTGATAATAAACACACAATCTCATATCCATCTTTCTTCTTGACTAACAACATCGACGCTCCACATAGCAAAACACTTGGTCGAACAAACTTCTTCTCAAGAAAATCCTCTAATTGTTTCTTTAGCTCACCCAATTCTGAAGTAGACATCCTATAAAGAGCCATCGACATAGGATTAGTACCAGGTACTAAGTCTATTCCAAACTCCACCTCACACTCTGGCGGTAAACCACTAATGTCATCTAGGAACGCTTCAGGAAACTCACACATAACAGGTAGATTCATAATCATTTTCTCGCTTCCCCTCTCAAGGATGTGAACACCATGAACACTTGAGGACTCTCACTTAAGGTCATCCCTACTTGTCTCGCGGTCATGAAACTCAACTTTGTACTCTCCTCAAGTTCAAGAAACTTCTCTGATTTATCAAAACAATTGAGTTGACTTAGAGGCAAACAAACTAAGTCAATCGCAAAATCTCTACTATAAATTGTCAAAGGACAATTCACAACAACAATGAAGTAGTCACTAAACCATTGTTTGGAGTATCAATAATCATGCTACCATTCATTATAGACACTTCCAGATTCAATCTTTTCACATGCTTAACAAATGTGAACTAGTGTGTTGCACTTGTGTCAATAATAGGAATAAATGGAATACCATTAATAAAACACGTACCTCAAATCAATTTGTCAGAACTAGTAGTCTCCACTCCACTCCACTCAAAGCAAAAAATTTCCCTCCAGACTGAGCCTTCTTAGGTTTTCGGCACTGATTTCTAATGTGACACAACTTTCTACAATTATAGCAAGTCAAAGTATTACTCTTACATTCAATAGCTCGATGACCTAGCTTCCCACACTTAAAGAAATTCACACTTGTTCCTTTGAACTTAGAAATATTATGTCCAAACTCAATACATTTGGAACATCTCATAGAAGTAGAAGATTCTCCCCTAATTGTTTCAATCCCGCTCCTGCTGGCAAACAGTTAGAAAAACAAACGAGCACAAACAATGTTTCATACACACATCGTATACCAGGGAAAAGACAAAATTACACAACCTAGTCGAATGGACTAATCAGGTTGTGATACCACTACGTAACACCTTAAACCCTAAAACTTATATATAAATAATTACTCAATAATTTAAGGTGTCACTATGACAACAATCCAAAAACTTTTAAAAACATTTAACAACATGCAGCGAAAATTAACGTAATAACAACTTCAAAATTACAATTCGCCAATAAAGTATTAAACTCTGTCACATAATTCATCATTAACTCAAACATAGTAAAAACGCCTTATTTCCAATGTTACAGATCAAAGCATTTAACCAAACAAAAGTGATAACGATAAAGCAATTTACGATGAGCTCCAAGGCTATCTTCCAACTCATAACAAATATTACTTATGTTCTTGAGTATCTGTACACATACACAGAAACACAACAACAAAAGGTGAGAATACGCTTAAATATGTTAGCAGTGTAAAAGATCAGGAAGGGTATCATAAACAACAACAACAAAAATCATCAACATGTAATGTATTCACATAACAATCATTGATTCACAAATTTCAACTCGTATGCAATGTGACAACACCTTAACTCTATATGCATGTGGTACCAACTCAATAAATGTTCTTCATGCAAACTGAGTCCCAACATATCTAAATAACATCATATCAATTATTTTACATAATTAAAAAATGCAACTAAATTCGTCAAGGGGTTGTCATACCCTAATTTTTGACCCTAATATACCCACATCATTTGCATCTCATACATACACTTTTATGCATCACTAGATCATTATAGAAAGTCAAGATTGTTGTTTGCATCATTGTGATCACCAATTAGGGGTTTTAAGCCCTACAGAGGATTCACACAAAAGAATCAATCAAGAATTGGCATGATCTTCAACTTATCAAGTCCCTCAATCATCCATAGAGATAAAGATATCCCATTTACCAAGAATCAAGGACAATATTACATCATTTCAAGTTGGTTAAGCCTCAAGATCATCTGTGTCACCAAATCAGGATTTTGACCTAATCCAATCCCAGGGATGACTTATGGATCAAGGAATGATCCAAGACCTCAAGATATGTTTCAAGGACCTCAAATACATCATATTAGTCCATTCATACAGTTGGATTGATCCAAAGAACTTGATTCATAAACAATGTAAGAATTCAAATCCATCTGAGCCAGAAACTAGGGTTTTGATGAAAAGTCAACCATATATTTGAATTTTGACAAAGACATGATCTCCAACCTTGGGATATGATTTAAGACACTCAAGTATACTCTTGAAGTCCATTCATAAGTTTAAAATCATCTTGGGATACTCATTTACCAAATCAGGATTTTGACCTAATCCAATCCTAGGGATGACTTATGGAGCAAGGAATGGTCCAAGACCTTAAGATATGTTCCAAGGACCTCAAATAAATCATATTATTCCATTCATATG